GGAAAACATGAAGCCTGCCTGCCCCACCCTAATTTTTCATCTGTTTGCCCTTCCGGACCCCAGAGGACTCTGTCCTCCACAGTAAGCACTCTGAGACAGGTGACTGAGCACCCAGTTCTGGGAAAGACTTTCAGTCACTTCTGGGGTGAGGACAATCCTTCAGCACCCAAGGCTGGCTGCCCTGGAGATACCACCTTTTCTTCCCATAGACAGATGGGCCATCCTTCCTGCTCCCGGCTTCTTAACAGCGTCTAACTGGATAGACAGCACTCTTGCCTGCTCTGGAATCCAGAAAGAGAGGAGGGCAGCTGGTCAGGGTACCTCAGGGCAGCTTCAGAGGGCAGGGTGGCTGCTGGTGAGTCAGGAAGCCTGTGTGTGTGTTTGTATCACGGTATCTGATTTACATAGTGCTGCATCAGCCTTAAGACATCCAAGGACCAGAGAGATTGCTCAGGGGTTAAAGATGTTTGGCTGCAAAGCCTAACACCTGAATTCCATCCCTGGGACTCACATGATAGAAGGAGAGAACCAGCTCTTGCACACACACACACACACACACACACACACACACACACACACACTAAATGTGTAAACAAGGTTCAAGACAAAGGTCATCCTTCTGTCAAGGGGCTGAAACTTTCTGAATGTCAAGGAACATCTGTAAGTAATAGGTCATTTTTCTCTAACATTTCTGTCTATTCTCTGGCGATCCGGAGACCACCCTTGATGGTTAGTGGTCAGGAATGTTCTAGAAGGATCTCAGGACTAGTAACCCTAATGCTTGTGATGACCACAAATGTGACCCGAGTGAGACCCCAGGAAGGAGGCGGTGGCGTCAAGCGAAGATGGCTAGTGTGGCTGGCATTAGCAGAGCCAGAGGACCTCAGTTTAGGAGGGTGTCTATTCCCTGGAGCCCCTGAGTCCTTCTGATGGGCGGATGTCAAAGAGGGTGTCTTTGTACTAAACAGAAAGAGAAACTGAGGCAAGAGACTGAGTATAAGAAGCACTAGGGAGTCTGTCTGGTTCCTTCAGGGTGGACATAGGTCCCTGATGCTCAGCCATGTCACCATCATATTCTCTCTCTCTCTCTCCTAATGACATTTGGAATGTTCGGACTGGGCCTGACTTCCAGGAGGTGGGGATTCAGGCATTTATTTGATGTTTGATGTCTTTGACCTGCTTGAGCTTGGGTGGGATAGTTTTGATTGCAGCTCAAGTTGCCTTGGGGAAAAGACTTCCCATCATCCTACCTCCTACTCTGACTGGTCAGGTCACTGGTCTCCTGAGTTCCTCGGTCCTTCACTATCCTGACAGGAAGCCACTTGTGAGACAGGAATCTGGACCACAGGGGATGGAGCAAACAAGTAGATATTCACAAACTCAGAGATGGGAAGCCCTGCAGAAGTCACAGCCAAGTCCCCTCAATGTCCTAAATGGGAAACTGAGGACCAGAATTTGCTTAAGGCTTCATGTTGAACCAAGAACAGAGAGGGTCTTCATGGGTTCAAAAACTGCCATTTTTCCCTTCCTACCTCCCTACTCCAGTGCTGGGTCTAGCCCAGCTCAGCACAGCAGCCCATGACAGCCCACCTCCTGCCCTGTCCTTTTCTAGTGTCTTCTGTCCATATAGAAGAGGTTCATGCTTCCTAAAGGCTCAATTTTCTTTTCTTTTCTTTCTTTTTTTCTTCCCCGAGACAGGGTTTCTCTGTGTAGTTTTGGTGCCTGTCTTGGATCTTGCTCTGTAGACCAGGCTGGCCTCGAACTCACAGAGATACACCTGGCTCTGCCTCCCGAGTGCTGGGATTAAAGGCGTGTGCGCCGCCACCACCTCCCCAAAAGGCTCAACTTTCAAAGCTGAAGTTCAGAGAAGGGAAGTCACAGGGTTGGCTGGTAGCAGAGGCGGGAAGAGAGCCCAGGTCTTCCTTCCCTGAGCTGATCTGATATCCACAGACAAAACCACTTTTCTTTAGTTCGACTTCTGAGTCCCATTTGCATGCTCACTGTTAGCCTGGCTTGCCTAGCACTGGTTTGTATGCCCGCTGTTTTTAGGTCATGGGTCTCCCACCCATCTTGCAGAGGAAGGGTAGCATCCATACACTTAGGTGAGAGGAGAGTTGGTCAGGGCTCGGTGGGGAGCACACTGGACACCTAGCTGTGTAAGAGCTGGACACCTTCACCATTGTCACCTCCGGGACTCAGGAGGTCCCCGCTGCCGGGACCTCCAAAGGAACTCTCCCAGAGAGCCCTGGGGGTTTCCTTCCTTCCCGCAGAGCCTCATCCTCAATCACCCCAGGTTCCACTCATTTCTCATAGCCAAGGCCCCAGCTACTTCTCAAGAGAGGCTCCAGCCAGTGGGGGAGAGTTCCAGGGACCCAGGAGCAGGGTGTCCAGCTGGGACCCATATCTTGAATTCCAACACGGCATGCAGAGGAATCAGCCAAGGACCCCATTCTCCCACAGGACAGAAAAGACCCCAGACTAAGACGGGGAAGAAAGGCCTGGGCGGGGGGGTAGAGGAGGGAGAACAGAGGAGATGAGAGTAGATAAATAGGAAGCAGGGAGTAGGTGGACTGGTGATGTAGATTTTCCTTTTCTCTGGCAATAATGACCTTGAGAGTCCAGGAGGTGCTGTGGGGGAGGGAACCGAACAGACCCTAGACACTAAGCTTGGCTGCTTGAGAGTCTATGGACAGGGACAAAGCCACCTTTATCCCAACCCCAACTGCCCCTGCCTCTTAAGAGGATCTTTAAGTCATTTATCTCAACAGACTGAGCGGTTCCCCACCTCTACATGGGCACAAGGGCAGAGGCAGAGGGTACACTTAGCCAGGAAGGGAGGTGCACACCCCAGCTCTTGGCGAACTTGGTGGGGCAGGCTGTGGTCCCATGAATCGGACGGACGGTTCTCATTCCACCCAAGACGAAACCCTAGGACTGGCTGGCGGAGGTGGCGGCTATCGATCCAGTGGAGGTCAGCCTCGCAGGCGATGAGTTTCCTGAGGTAATGAGATCTCCGTTCCGGAAGGTATTCAAGCAGAGCTTGGAGGTGTTGTCAAGAAGGTTCAAGTATCGGATCATACCTTTAGATTATACCTTTTGCCTTTCGTCTTAAAGGCTCCTGACAACAGCCCTCATTCTAGGACTCACACGACGGAAGCAGGATTAGCCCTTGCTTGCCTGGAGATAAATAAGACTAATATCCATCCCTTCATCGCTCTGTTTAGCTGTGGTCTTCCCTGGGCCTTCTTTGCACCTCACTTTTCACATTTACTTGTTCATTGTGCCTTTGCACGTGGAAGTGAGAGGACAATTTCCTTCCACCCCATTGTGCTGGGGTTTGAACTCAGATGGTCAGGCTTAGCCACAGGCACCCACAGAGCCATCTCACCAGCCCTACTTATACCTCCTTTCTGGCATCTGCTTTACATGATTTAGAGGTGGTGGGGGTGGGAGTGTTGGCAAACCCCCAGATAGATGGAGAAAATAGCCTGGAAGACGGTGAGAAATGTGAAGCCAGGTGCCCTGTGGAGTGTCTTTCCAAAGATCGAGCCAAGTCTAACTTGCTTTCTTTGGCCTGCCTGCCAGGGCTCTGGATTCCCCTGTCTTTACAGATAAGACCATACATTAAAGATGAAAATCCCCATACATTAAAGATGAAAGTCCTCGCCCCTCCCCTGGGGGGGAGGCTTTCCCTCCTTCTTACCACTCCAGCTCTGCCAGTCTGCCTCATTCCTGCTGCTGACACTCTCCACTGTCGCTGGCCCTGTCAGCAGGTCAAGGGATAGCTTTCATGTCCTACCAGAACGGGCTTGAACACCCCTGGGCTAGACCTATGGGAACGGCCACTCTTTATTAAGGAGCTGCTGTGTCTGGCACTGAGCGAGGCGCTCTGTGTCAGTCTAGCTAAGCGTAAAGACCCTCCCCAAATGCTCATTCCTTTCTTGGGTCTGTAGATGAGGGAACAAAGTTCTGCTGTAGTAGGCACCATGTGCGAACAAGGCGATGTGGCTAGGAAAGTGCAGAGCTGATTTAAAGGCCAGGGCCGTGCGAAGGCAAACGCTCCACTTTCTATCATAGCAACACTGGAGTGACTCTCCACAGTCCAGACACGTAGGGGCAGGTGGAGGGAGGGTAGCTGAGCCAACTCCAAAATGATCATGGGTGACATAGGGGTCAAATGAAGCCCAGGCAAAGCTTTCCCAGAGGCCTCTGATGTCTTATTGGGATCTGGTGCTCTGACTCCCCGGCTCTGTGTGTGTGAACAGTGGCGGCCTCTGCTGGCCACCTTTTCACCTCTAGGACTACCGCCAGCCTGTGAGCCTCCTCACCCTCCTGGCCTGAGCTCTCAGTCCCTTACGGCTTCTCCTCAGCCTGTCTCACTCTAACTTCCCGAAGGTGCCCGTGAACAGCTTCTTGCGAGCCTCCTTACCCTCCTGACTGGAGCTCTCCCAGTCCCTACCCCTTCTCTCTACCTTCCTGAAGCTACCTTCCACCTAGGGAAGATGTCCCCCACTCCCACATTTCCTTTCCCTGTCCCTTCCCCCTTTCCCTGCTCTCTGCATGTCCCCTCTCCTCTCCCCCCCCCTTGGCATAACAACCCTTCTAGCTGCACCCCTCCCCCATTAAATGTTCGTGGAGAGAACAGGATTAGGATCTTTAGGGAGTCCTGCCCGGCACTCTACAGTTTTGTACTTTTGTATCTGGTGCCCATTTGAGGGGCAGGACAGGGTCCTGGTTTCAGGGGCACATGTGGCCACTTAGCTAATATGACAGCCTCCAATGGACAGCAGCTGCAATGTATAACAAACCTTCCCCAAACCTCCAGATCACACACCTCTTGAGCCCCCATCGGCCACTGATGAGAGGGCAGGGTACTTGGTGACCCAGGAAACAGAGTTAAACATAGCTCTGGGGTGTTGGCTAGGGTGACTAAGATTCCGCGCAGGGGCTTCAGTTCCCACCCCAGTGTGGTTCCCAAGAAAGAGATGCCCGGGACTCACCCATTTCTGAGCTGCTTCTAGAAGTGGGCACACACCCCTCTCCAGCTTGGGACTGTCCGGCCAGCAGAGACATGCCCGGGGTGGTTCGCTCCCTCCTCCCTCTGCCCTCCTCCTTCCAATGAGCTCATCTGTCTGGGGCTTCCCATCCCCCTTTGCCTGAAAGGATGTTTGGACAGAACCTGGCAGAAAGCAAGGAAAGAAGAGATAGATGGAGTGACTGCTTACCTGCCTATGCCCTGAGCCCCTAGGAAGTGGAGGCGGGTGAGAAAAGAGGGAGAACTCTCCTCAAGAGGGGAACTTGGAGAGAGTTTAGCTTTCTACCAACTCACTGATGCCCTGGGAGCCCTGAACTGAGGTGGCCATGCGGCATCCTTTGCTGGACCGTTCAGCCACGTGCCTGCAGGCTGGTTTGGTGCATGCTGTCTTGTTAACTCTCTCAGCACCTGCCAAACTTCCGTGGATGCTGAGAGAGTGGCTGATGAGGCAGCCACTCTGAGCCAAGGGAGGGTGAGTGGGGAGGGGCTGAGAGTAGACTCAGATACTCTAGAAAGGGGCTCCAGAGCATCAGCCCAAGCCCCCACCCAAGGGGCAGAAGAACTTGTGGGCTTTTAACTTTAATGCAGAATCTGATGCTTGTAGTTGCACTGAGATGGGGGTCCTGTTTACAAAGTGCAGCTCTTGGTCGGGAAGCCCAGAGTAGGCAAGATGCAGAGGCAGCTCTTGGTCGGGATCCAAGGCCTGAAGGGAGCCATAAGGTGAGGGTGTAGGGCCAGCTCCCTGCAGAATCCACAGTCAGTGGGGCTGTGCTTGAGTGCCTGCAGTTACCTGCAGTGTCCTGAGAAGAGTGTGCAAAGGCTTCTGGGGGAGCAGGCAGTAGACAAGGGCAACAGGGGAGCCCAAGGGGGGAGGAGATGCCCTGCCAGGCTGCTGAAGTTTAGGAAGAATACCTCTTGAGGGCTCTGGAGTCCTCTGGCCCACTTGCTGGGAACTGACAGGGAGGGGGGTCACCTGTAGAAGGTGATGCTGTTGAACAAGTGAGCATCTTCCGGTGTCAGGACCACTCGGAGGCCTCCTTTACTGTGATCCTGCCTCCCTCTTTCAGTGGCTCCTCTAGATGCCCAACTGTTCCAGAAATAGGGCCCCCTCTCCTCCCTAGCTCTACCCTAGCACCCCAGGAGGCTTAGGGAAGTGGGCTTTTCCGCTGAGTCAGTTGTCTGGTCTGATAGGATTTGGGGGGCTAGCCTGCCTGAATTCCCAAGAAAGCATCTCCTTCCACTTAAGCCCAGGCTGTCTCTGCCAGCTTGAGAAATGGATGATTTTCTGACAGCTGTTGGGCTCTGGCCCAACCCATCTCAATGTCCCTGCGAACTTCAAGAGATTTCTGAGCCAAGTCACCCAGACCTGTGTGTGTCACCCACCCCCAGGAATCAGGATGGTCAGGGGCACTGGGGCAGGGGCTCCAGGTACCCACCTTCCTGAAAGGAGCTGTACATTTTGTTCGCTCCCCTATGACTAGAGGCTTCTGACAGGAAAGGGGAGTGGATCCGGTGGACCTCCTTAAGAGTTTTCCAAGGGTGGGGAGAAGGAATGAGCCTTCCGCACCCTGTCCCTTGACCTCCTCAGGAGGGACCTCTTAGCTCTAACACTACACAGGCCTTCTGAGGTTTCTGTGTGAGGGAGGTGCTCTACAAATGTGAAACCCTCCCCACCCCCTACAGCTTAGTGTTTCCCCGGCCCTTGTTCTGCCCAGCTGGGGGCCCTGCTAGTGTTCAGAGAACAGGCAGGTGTGTGAAGTGTAGAGAGCAAATGGCAGGGAGGCACCGATCCCGGGTTAACCTGTGCTTTTGCAGGTGACCTTGGCCCACACATACTCCTCTGTCTCACATCTTCCTCTGTGGTGGGTGAGGGCCCTCCCAGCTAAGGAATCCAGGGAACAGCAAGGGATCAGAGGATGCGGGGAAGGGCACTCAGGGGAGCTAGTCACCTTCCTCTGCCACCAGGGTCTAAAGATATCTCTGGAGTCCTGTCCCCCTCCTTCCCTGTTTTCCGGGGAGGGGTCACTTTCTTCCCCTTTGGTTCACCTCCTCTCACCTCAGCCTACTGCTCGGGGAAACATGACCCTGTTGTAAAAATAACATGGGCAGCGAGGACGCCTGGCCTTGTCTATACAGCGGAAGGACCTCCTGGGGTAAGCAAAGGTCAAGCCTGTCCTGGACGCGGCTTTGCCTCTGGGTTCCGGGCTTCTGCGTCACGTGTCCACCCTGTGTGCCTAGCTCTCTGCTAAGCATGTTAACATGTGTTTTATCTCTCTGGGTCTTCACATCCAGCTCCACTTCTAATGTTGGCAAGGCCTATGGCAAGATACAAGTGCAAAAAGCGCAGGAGTCCAAATGTAGGTTATAAATCAGGATAATCAGCCAGGCGTGGTGGCGCACGCCTTTAATCCCAGCACTCAGGAGGCAGAGGCAGGAGGATCTCTGAATTTGGAGTCCACCCTGGTCTACACCGCTGGTCTACAGGGCTACATAGAGAAATCCTATCTCAAAACAAACAAACAAATAAACAAACAACAAACAAAATCAAAACAACAAGAAACAAAAGTCACAACAACAACGAATTAGTTCAGTAAGTTTATCTCTTGTCCTCTGCCTTTGGCTGCTTTTCCTTGGTGATCTAGAAGATCGTGTCCAAAATGGGATTCTTCAAACTATTCCCTGGTCCTCTTGCTTCTGTGGCTGGTCCTGGAGCTCCAGGGGCTCTTGTTCATACACAGGAACCACCCACCTGCTCATCAAGCCTATCCACACAGCGGCGGTAGGTAGGCCACTTCTTGGGTCTGTAGACACACTCCTCACTTCAGAGGACAGACTAGGGAAGAACCCAACTCAGACCCCCTGAAGAGGCAATTCCAGACCCCTGGGCCCCCCGGAACCGTTTAGAACTGAGAGGGGGTACATTCCCTATTGTGATCCCCTGGACTCAGAGGCCAGCATGAGGAGGTCCTCTAAAACTAGGAGCCTAGGGCTGTTCTCCCTGTTGCCCAGGGTTGAGGGTGATGCTGTTATTCACGATCTCAGGAGGTAGATACCATAGGTTCACCATCGGCAGACAAGCAGAGACTTCTCCAGAAAGATGTGCGCCTTGTTTAGAGTTCTCCAGGAGCAAATGCAGGCATCGGGGTTGTTCAGCTACCTTGACAACAGCAGAAGGAAACAGCAGGGTTCTCCCCGCAGACATTTAACATTCTGCATACAACCTCAAGGGTCTCATGGCGCTCAAGCCTACTAGGGACTCCAGTTTTGAAGATGGGCGGCGGGTGTGCCTGCAGCAGGTAAGGAGGATGTGTTCCTAAGGTTTAACTGGTCTCCAGATAGCGAAGATCTGTCCTGGAGGTTTGGGTAGTTGACTGGGGGCCTTGAGGAGGACATCCCGGGTGTTTTGATTACCGACCCCACCCCCACCCCGCCCAACATTGGGGGGAAAAGCACTCTGTCTCCAAATGTCCGTCACTAGCCCTCTAACAGGCATAGAGTCTGCAGAAATGGGTTGGTGGGCGGAGTGCAGGGGCAATTTGCAGATGAAACTTGCTTTTCCCACGGCCTCAAAGCCACCCGCAGAGCGCATAAGCGGCGTGGCGGGAGGCGAACGCGTGCGGGTCCAGGTCTGCACCGGGTTGTCCGCAGCAGGCAAGCCGGCACACGCCCACCAGCTGCGGCAGCGCCCGCTGCGGACGTCCTCCCCGCGGTCCCGGGAGAGGCAGCCGCTGCCCTTACTCGTGTGTTCTCCGAGCGGAACAAAACAGCCTTCCAACAAACCTAAAAGCTCCACCTCTACTCCCCCGTGAACTCTTCTCCTAATTGGCAGCTCGGCGCATGGGATGATGCGGGCGGCTGCGGGCCGGCCCTGCAGTGCCAAGCCGCAACATCCCCGTCCGGTTGGAGAGGCAGAGGGCTGCTCAGGCTGCACCCCACGATCCTGATCCGCGGCGCTCCGGTCACCGTGAGAAACCGGCGGGGACGCCGCCCCTCCTGCGGCTGGAGCGCTTCCAGAGCAGAGGCGCATCGCAGTGCCGCTCGCCCCGGCGTCCTCCCTCCAGCTCCAGCTCCAGCTCCGGCTCCTCCTCCTCCCCCCAAGCCCCGGCGCCCGCAGCGGGCTCCAAGAGGCGAGCGGGCGCGCCTCCCCCTCTTCGTCCTCCCCCTCGTCTCGCTCTCTCTCGGCTAACTTTCCTGAGCCCCGACCCGCGGCGCGGAGCTCCCCCCGGCAGCTGCGGGGGCCCAGAGCCGACCTCGGGCGGAGAGCGTGGGGGTGCCCACTATCTCATCCCAAGCCCTCGGAGTGCTCCGGAGAGAACAGGACCATGTCCCGGGCTGGGGACCGAGGCAAAACCCTGGCGAGATGGCTGGGCACTGGGCTCTTGGGTAAGGCAGCCCCAGCTTTGTCTTTTCTCACGCCTCTTGCTTACCCCCACTCCACCCTGAAGGAGGGGACACTGGAGAAGAGGGGTGCCTTAGACAAGGTGGCACCCAATGAGTGGATGACCGTCTTCCTGCTGGATGCTTAGCTTTGAGGCTATGCTCCCTGGGAACCCTGTGCAACCCCCCCCTCCCCCACAGCCACCTTGGCAGAGTTTCTTGCTGCCTCTGGTGCCATTTGGAGCTAGGTCTTGGGGCTGCAGCAGGGGAATCCTTCTAAGTTACAGAGTTCAGGCATGCTGGTGGAGGGGTCTACTGCCTTGAGTATGGGGGATCCCTGGGGGGTTGGTTGCAGGTGTAGTGGTGTCTGCCACCCTTGCCTGGAGCTCTTGGCTTGCTTCCCTGGCAGCAGGGATGCACCCGTGGGGCACAAGGGGCTCCCCACCACCCTTTGCTAGGTTCTTCTGTCTTCTGTCTTCTCTGGTGTCACTGCAACTCTGTGCCAAATGCTGGACGGGCTCGGATGGACCTAGAGGATCGTTCAAAAGCCACCTTTTAAGGAGGGTCTTGTCCCTCTTCCTGTAAAGAGGTTCTCTGAGGAAGACCTGTTTGGCCTGCTCCCAGCTCTTTATTTTGGGGAAGACTGTGAAGAGAGAAGAGTCAGGTCCAGAGGACGCAGAGGGTAGAGAATATTGTGGCTATCTATTAATATTCACATGATGGTTTTGAGTGTCAAACTCCAAGAGATTAGGCAATGGTATTTATTAGTCCAGAATGTAAATCACAGCCTGGCTTCCAATGTGAGTCGGCTTCATCTCTGGCCCCTGCCCCTCTTCCTGGTTATTATGTCAGATTTGGGTTTTGACAGATACCCATACCCCCTCCCCTCCATTGGGTCAGGCACATGGTAGAGGTATTTGTGCTGGAAGCAGGGGACAGAGGTCTCTGAGAGAAGCCACTATGCACCTGTAAATCTTGTACAGATCTATCCTATGGATACATGTCAGGTGGTGGTGTGGTGGTGGTGGGGGGCAGCGTTCTTTTTTACTGAGCTCTGGTTTCCTCACCTCCGAGGCCAGATATAAGACATTGGTGCTTTGCCCCGTACCATTGGCACAGATGTTATATGAGTTTCATGGTGACTCCAACACTCAAGGCTCCTCTTTGTGGGATGGGTATATATAGTGTCATTCCGTTGGAGTTCCTCCTTGGATCATCCCAGGACTCCCCTGTGGCCATGGCGGGGGTGAGGGGTCTCTGAGGCGGCAGAACTCCACTTACTAAACCAGACCCTGCATGATATGGATGTCCTTACCCTATGTTTGGTTGGTCAAGGGAGTATCAGGCCTTGCACTAATAGAATAGTCATAGAATCTGGCCTCTGTAGACAGTAAGAGGGCTCTAGGAACTGGGGGTGGGGTGGGGTGAGTGGAGAGCAGGGCAGAGCTTTGGTATGAGTGGGCAAGGACTTTGAAAACCATAGCTTTTCAAAAAGTGAGGAAGGTGTGGTCTGGAGGGGGGTGGTAACCTGCCTAAGGGTACATGGCCAATTGATGGTCAAGTGGGACAGAACCCAGGCCATGTGGTGACAGGGAAGGTCAGTGGGCCTGTGTTTAGAGCCCGAGGGTGAGTGAAGCCCTGGGTCATGGCATGGAAGCCACGGGCTTGAGTCGCGGTCAGATCTTCGTTTTCGCAGGTGGGGAGACTTTCAGGAGGTCCCCCTCCTCCCAGATCAATTCAGTTTCTTGGACTGAGACCCCAGTGGATTTTGATAACACAAACAAGACAGCCTTTTCTGAACCCCAGAAGGGGCTCACGAGACCATATCACTGCAGCTGAGGTTTATATGGGTTCCAGGCCTTTCCTAAGTATGTAACTGGGAGTGTGTAGTTCTGCCCACCCCTTGCTTGCTCCCTGATTTGCTTAATTGCCATGATCTGTGTTTAATTATCACTTGTGAGGGTGCTGTGTCGCACAACCCTCTCTCCCCTGGTATGTATTTATTAAGGGCTTGTTTAATGAGAGCACAATTAAAGAGAGGGTGTTGAGTCCCCTTCAGAGGAAGAAACCAACAAGGCTCAACTGGGAGAGCCTGGAGAAGAGGGGGAGAGGGCCAGGGGCAGTTTGCATCTGGAAAAGATGATTAACCCTCGGAATCTGCAGAAGGCAGGCTTTGGGGAACAGACAACCCTCTGACTGGCTTCTTCCTGGAGGAGTCACCTTGCCCTGTGGCTGCTTCTTGAGGGGATGTAGGTACATCCCCATAAGCCATGGATGCGGTGGGCCAACATCACTGCCCAGCGGCCTCTAAGAAAAAGAACAGATCCACTGTTTGGACTTGTTTGTAAAGCTGGTTTCCCTGATCAAGTTCTGTCCCAGGGGCATACTTCTATCCCCGCAAAGCTCCTGGGGGTGGGCAGGAAGCAGGCAGGCAGGTTGCCTAGGGTGAGGGAGCAGAAATCTTTCCTTTGCTGTGGGGCCCAGGAGCCTTGCCTGGCCCAGCCCTGCTTCCCCAGCCCCTGAGGCCTCTCTCCCAGGAGGGGTCCTTGTCTCACTGCCCTTAGCCGGCCCACTTTCTGCCTTTAAGCTCTAACTCTGAGCTGTTCTTCCTCCCTGGGGCCAGGGAGTCTCAGCTGAGCCTCTGCTCGCCCTGGCCCGCAAGTCCTTGGAGCTAAACTTAGAGCAGGCACCGTCCTGCCCTCCTGCCCCCTACCCTGCCTGGGTGTGACTAGTCTCAGGATATGGGAAAAGATGATGGCGTGTTGCCAGCCTGGCATCCCCCTTTCAATGGGTGCTAATAGCCATCAGAGTCCTGCTGGTGTGACTATTTAATAGTATTCCATGTGCAGAATACTTTTTTATAGGTGCATGTGAACCTGTGTGTACAGGTATGTGTGTGGAGGCCAGGAGTTAACACCAGTTGTCACTCCTTAGGTGAGACAGGGTCTGTCATTTGACCTGGAGCTTCTGGATGAGGAGCAAGGCTGGCTGGCCAGTGGGCCTAAGACCAGCACCTGTCTCTACCTTCTCAGTTCTGGAATTACAAACCCATGCCACCATACCCACTTTTTTTTTTTAAACAAGGTTTTAGGGAATTGAACTCATACCTGCTAGTAAGTACTTTCCTTTTTTTCTTTATATAATAATAATAATAATAATAATAATAATAATAATAATAATAATAATTATTATTATTTTATTTATGTGCATTGGTGTTTTGTCTGCATGAGGATGTTGGGTGCCCTGGAACTGGAGTTACAAACAGCTGTGAGCTGCCATGTGGGTGCTGGGAACTGAACCTGGGTCCTCCTGAAGAGCAGCAGCCAGTGCTCTTAACTGCTGAGCCATCTCTCCAGCCCCATCCTTTCCTTATTGAGTCATGGCCACAGCCCTAAATACTTTTCAAAAACTTTGGTCCAACTTGTGAATTCTGAGTCTGTCTTTCTCCCTGGATGAAGTCCCAGCAGGGTGGCAGGAGCTAGGGCCTTCTGAACATGGCTGCAGAGAATGGCTAAGTGACTTAGGGAAGGCCAGGCTGTGAGATGGGGGTGGGGATCCACAGGACTCTGACAGAGGAGACTTCATTGATCCCACAGTGCCAGAAAGAGGCCCAACTGGCAGACATATCCACCCCCCATGCTGGCATTCTCAAGAGGTAACTTTTGGGCAAAGCAAGAAAGTCCTTTACTTAGGGAAATAGCCACATGGAAATTATCCAAGATGTGGTAGAGGGTGAAGAAATAAATCAATGTGTGAGTAGCCTGGAGACAATCTTGGCTGACGACAGTGGTCTTTAGGAGAAACTAATGGCGCCCTGGTTATATCCAGTGCTGTAATGGCGCCCTGGTTATATCCAGTGCTGGTTGGGGACAGCCGCGTCCCCCCTCAGCCCTTTTAAACAACAGCCTGTCCCCTAGATGCTCCCTCTTTGAAGTCCTTCTCGTGTTTTACAGCCTCATGCTTTGGCTTCCCACCAAGCTTGGGAGGTAGGCAGGTTTACAGCTCTCCCTGCACTGCTCTGGGGATGCGCATGCAGGATGCAGGACGTGCAGGATGCAGGACTTGCGGCACCCTCTGACTTTGTCAAGGTCAGCAGGCAGACTGGGGCCTGCCCCTGGGGCCTGCTGCCCAGTCCATTCCAGCTTTGGCCAACCTGCTTAAGTAGCCCTCCAGGGGCCTGTTAGTGGATCCTGACCCATGCTCCTCCCCAAGTTTAGCCTCACAGGAGCTTGTGCACCAATCTCCTAGACGCAGCCGGCAGGACTTCCTAATGCCTGGCTGGGTGGGCTGGGTGTTGCAGAAGCAGCCAGGTTTGCCTACTATCGCCCGGGCAAGGATGCCTCTGTGGAGACCATCTCTACCGGTTTCTTTTGTCCCCTCCAGGCTATCGAGGACACGGCAATGCTTCACTCAGAGTCCTGAAGGTATTAGATAGAGTTAAGTCATCCGCATGAGGCAGAAATGCGTACTGTGCGGTGAGCCAGAACTTAAAGAAATAGTGTTCTTCTTTCTGAACTTTTCGTTTGCTCTTTTCTGCTTCTATCTATTTAAAGTATCTTCTCAAACCAGGCACAGGGGCACCTGCTTGTAATCCCAGCACCTCAGGAGGTGGAGGTAGATGAGAAGTCCAAGGTCATCCTTGGTTTCTGAGCAAGTTCTAGTCTGTCGTGTGTGAGGCTCTATCTCAAAAACAAACACATGATCATGCCCCTTCACTGTGCTTCTGTGCTCTGCAATTGTTCATTTGAGCTGGAGTTGGAGGGAGGAATTTGGTCCTTGAGATGAGTCCCCTGTCTTCATCAGGACTCTGATTCCCAGGTCCTGGTGTTAAGCTGGGAGCCAGAGCCTAGGAATTACCAGGAAGCCCCTCCCTCGCTCCCTCTTCCTTTCCCACCCTCCCTCCCTCTCTCCCTCCTTCCTTCCTTCCTTTTTCACAATTTCTTCCCTCCTCCCCTTCCTTTTATTTTTTGAGACAGAGTCTTACGCAGCAGCAGAAGCTGGTCTCAAAACCGCAACAACTCTCCTGCCTCTGCTGAGTGCTGGGGATCCAGGTGTGAGCCAGCACATCTGGTTTAGGAAGCTTCTTTTTTTCTTTATAACTGTAAGGGTGTGTTTATATTTTCATGTGGGAATGTGGGCATGCAGCAGTGTGTACACGGAGGTCAGAGGACATCCTTGGTCCTTGCCTTCCACCTCATTTGAGACAGGATCTGTTGTTTTCTGGCTGCATATGCCAGGCTAGTGGGCTCACAACCTTCCAGAAATCCTCTGTCTCCATCACCCATCTCCCTGTGCCAGCCCTGGGATGACTGATGCTTTATGGCACACACCAGCTTTTACATGGGTTCTGGGGATTTGAACTCAGATCCTCATGTTTACATGGCAATCACTGTTACGGAGCCATCTCCCCAGCCCAGAAGCTTCTTTGCTCAGGGCTTCCCTGTCTTCTGCTCTGCACCCTGGTTCCGTTTAAGGGGTTATGGGAGGCATGGAACAGAGAGCTTTAGGCTCCCATCCTCCAGTGCTGGTTCTAGGTGGACACCTGTGACTGCTCCTGTTCCTAGACCTTCGGGGAGAGCTGGGGTAGAGGGCAGCAGAGATAAAACAAGAACCAAGAACTCCAGGGAGCACTGACTCCCATCAGATGGGGGAAAGCAGATCAGTTTCTGAGTGCTGCCTACTTGCTTCCTGGGTATGTGGCCTTTCGTATGTTTATTTCTTGGAGGCATTTATTGGGAATAAAAGGAATAACAGCTTCATAGGGTAAGGATGAAATGTGCATAGTTTATGAAATATACCCATCCTATATCACACAGTAAGTACTAAACTCCAAAGAGGTTATTCACTGTGTGGCTGCTGGGAAAATCACTTTACCTCTCTGAACCTCAATTTTGTCATCTGTAAGATGAGAAAAAGTGTACCTGCCATTTAGTATCCTATTAGAAGTGGGGGTGACTGTGTGGGAGCCCTCTAGCATAGTCATTTTCAAATTGTGGTCTGCACCCACACTGTTCCCTGGGAGCTACAGAGAGAGGCCAGCTCTCAAGACTCATATAGTCAGTAGCTCCAGGGGCCGACCCACACCTGCCTATGCCTGTCCCCAGTTAATTCTAATGTCTCTCAGCATGGAAAACCATTGCAACAGTCTTGATGCATTGTACACACACACACACACACACACACACACACACACACACACACACACACACACAGAGAGAGAGAGAGAGAGAGAGAGAGAGAGAGAGAGAGAG